AGCAAAAATTTCTACATTCACTTTAATCTTGGTGCTCACTGAAGGGGCAATTGCATGGCTTTGCTCTTCTGTTCATGTGCCGTGGTTGAGATAGGGAAAGAAGAATAAGGGCCTCAAAGGAGCCATCGGCCCCTCTGTGCTCTTATTGGTGAACTCACCCCTACAGTACTGTGACCAAATGAGGTCATGGGGTCAAAGTGGGTTCCAGGATCAGGAGAATTTCCCTATTTTCAACCTCTCTTGGAATTAGGACTGATTTTTGGGGCAGATGGGTACCACCTAATACCAGTCAAGGGAGCATCTCAGTGCCTACCATCCTTAAGGTCACCTGTCCACTTGTGAAGAAGATAAGCTAAAAAACCTTGTGAAATGCTTAGAGATTTAGTAGGGTAAAGTAGAAAAGAGGAATGTATTTAAAGTCAGAATTCCTGGGTTTGAGTCCCAGTTCCTATACTTCCTAAATTGTGTAATTGTAGGAAAGTCAATTTGTCTCTCCGGCCTCAGTTTGCTAGTCTATAAAATGGGAATGAATAATAATACTTGTACTGCCTACTTCATAGGGTTGTTGTGAGGAACCAATGAGATAATGTATGTGACAATGCTTAATGACCATGATGCAGTATATAAATGTTATACAGTACACAATTAAGTGTATATTGTAGAGTTTGGAGTGGATTGAGGGTTGAACTTGGAGTCAGGAAGATTTGAGTTTAGGTTCTGCTTCTGATACAAACTGGCTATGTGACCACCATTAAGTCACACTCCCTCTCAGTGTCCTAGGTAGCTCTCCATGGCCATGAATTGCAGAAGAATGAGCTATCTACGTTAGTGTAGGGAATTTCCACACTTGTAATTTAGGCCCTCTCTCCCCTTTCCCTCCTAAGGGGATGCCTGTAAAGGTTGTGGGTTTGTAGGTGTTCAGAAAAGAGGAATTAATATGGTGGCCTGCAATTGTTGGGGAAAAGATTCTTGGAGTATTGCCTCTAAATCTTAACCCCCTCATCAGGTGGCTCTTCTCACCCAAATGATGAGTCCTCATAGCTTCCTGAATAACTCATTTCCTTCCTTGGCATAGTTAGCTTTCTGTCATATGTAAGACCACCACTAGGCCTTTGTAGAGTTACTGCTTAAAAGCATTGGACATTTGTTTTTTAACCTTCTAGGTCACATGGGGGTTAACTCCTACGATCCCTTTTTCTCCTTTGTTAACTCTGAGACTTAGAAAAAGCATTTAAGTAAGCTTTCAATTATCTTAAAAGGCTTCAGGTAAATTTAAACAATAGATTTTTGTTTTGATGATTTCAACATTTGCTTAGCTGACCGTTAATTCCTGCTAAAATCTAATTACATAAAGTCTGTACTCAATTTTTAAAACAAGTTACTCTATCTAGTGGAAACCATTAATAATCCGGCTAAGTTCCACTCCCAAAGTGGTCAGCTAATCACACACTAAGTGGTTTTGTAGGAAGAAAAAGACAATTTTTTGTTCTTGTGCTTCTCTATTATGTGTAAGCACATCTTAAAAGCTTTTGCCTCTCTAGCACATACTAGAGTGTAGTCTCAGGTGCCTCCACCTCTTAGTTTGCCTTGATTCTTTCAAGACTCAATTCTAATCTTCTTTTCTGTAGGAAGTCTTTCTTGGCGTCCCATTATGAGATTGTTGCTGTTGAGTCTTTTTCAGTTGTGTCCAACTCTTCATGACCTCATAGACCATATTATCCATGGGGCTTGCTTGGCAAAGATACTGGAGTGGTTTGCCATTTCCTTCTCTAGTTGGTTAAGGCAAACAGGTTAAGTGACTTGCCTTGGGTCACATAGCTAATAAGTGTCTGAGGCTAGATTTGAATTCAGGTCTTCCTAACTCCAGGCCCAGTGCTTTATCCACTTCACCACCGAGCTCCTCCCACCTACTCTGTATTTATCTTGTATATACCTAGTTATTTACATGTTGTCTCCCCCATCATGTTGTGAGCACCTTGGAGCTAGGGGCAGTTTTTGCCTTTCTTTGTATCCCTAGTGCTTAGCAAGGCGCTTGGGTACACAGTAAGCACTTAATTCTTGTTTTATCCTTTGTTTTTGGAGAGGATCAATGACGTCATAGGGTGATGTCTTGACTCATGTGTGAATTGGATTTAAGTGAGGCAGAGTTGTACAAAGTCCTCAGCTTCACTCTCCCAGAGTCATCAGTGTCCCAGGGCAGCACCAAAGTCAAGATGACTAACCGTGGCCCCAGGATGCAGTGGATGCTGACCAAGCTCTAAGCACTCCACAGAGCCTGCTTGAGCCACCTTCATAGCCATTGGAACAAATTGTTCTCATCTACCCATTCTACCAGGGGCAGTCTTCACATGCTTGGGGTAGACACTCCCCTAACTCCCCAATGGGTTTGAAGCCTGGCAATTATCCTCAACCTGGTTTAGTCCATCTGCTGAGATAGTTTACCCATGTGTGGCTTCCATGCAAGCTACAGCTTCTTGGAGTCACAGGTAAGAGGTGAATGCCAAGAAGACCCCAAAGGTGGATAGAGTAGCCCTGAAAAGGGCTCGGCAAACCCTTACACCAGAGGTGCAAATCCTCTTTAAACATTCCATTGACTCCTTAGTAAATGTTTGTTGACCAGCTGAGAGACAGCCTTACTTCCTTGTGCTGTCTTTAGATGAAAGGATTTAAAGTTGGAAAGGAGGCAAGCCTTTCATTTCCTACAGGAGGAAACGAAGCTCAAAGAGCTTAGGTGGTTTCCCCAAAGTCACTCAGATTGTAGGATGAAGATCCTGTCCAGAATCCAGGTCTTCTAACTCTTTCTAAATCCGAGGCTTATCCCACCACTGCACGATGTTCTACAAACAATTCTTTGTGTGTGTGTTGGTAAACAAACATCAAAGGCAATTAGGTGTCACAGTGGACCAGAATAGCTGCTCTGGAATAAGGAAGACTCATCTTCCTGAGTTCAAATCTGGCCTCAGACACTTGCTAGTTTTGTGACCCTGGGGAAGTCACTTAACCTTGATTGCCTCAGTTTCCTCATCTGTAAAATGGGCGGGAGACCGAAATGACAAACCACTCTAGGATCTTTGCCAAGAAAACCCCAAATGGAGTCATGCAGAGTCAGACACATGAACAACACCAACAAAAGCCACAGAGTTGAAATCATACTCTCAGGGTAGCTGGAAAGGACCTTAGAGATTACCTTGTTCAGTGGTATCAAACTTAAATATGAAGGTGGGAGGGCCACTACATTGTACACTAGGATCCCTGCAGGTTGCATATTCTTTTAGATCCCTAAATGATTCACTTAATCTCTGTTTGCATAATCCTCTGGAGAAGGAAATGGCAAACCACTCCCATGTTTTTGCCAAGAAAACTCCATGTGGGTTCTTGAGAAGTCAGACACACGATTAGGGTTGGAGAAGAAGAACAAAACGTTATAGCTCACGATCTTCCTCCCAGGGGTGGGAAACCTGTGGCTTCCAGGTCACATATGGCCTTCTAGGTCCTCAGGTGCGGCCTTTTGACTGAGTCCAGGTTTTACAGAACAAATCCTTTTACTGAGGGGATGTGTTCTGTGAGGTTTGGATTCAGTCAAAGGGCTGCACTTGAGGACCTAGAGGGGGCACATGTGGCCTCAAGGCCTCAGGTTCCCCACCTCTGGGAGTCTAGACCATCCCTGTGCACATTCCCCAAACCTTCCTGGATTAGCTCCTGGGGCTTTGGAAGCTACATTTAGCATTAAGTATTTACAGGAGCTCATGCACGTGGAGAAACAGTATAACTGAAGCTGTAAATGTTTATGATCTCAGTACATTTTGCCACATCTGCCTTGGCAATTCACCACCTGGTCAGGGCAGCTGGGGAGCCAGCACAAATTTTGCCAAGCTACCTCATGGCACTCTGTGGCAAGGGAGAACTCCCTAACTATTAGAGCTGTCCAAAAGAGAAATGGGAACCCTTAGGAGGTGTGTCTTATCCCTGGAGCTATTTAAGAAGAGGCTGAATGACAACTTGTCCGGCAGGGTCTTGGTTCAGGTCTGAGTTGGCTTAGAAGAGCTTTGAAGTCCTTTCTGACTCTTAGATTCTATATATAATTTATAGATGAGGAGACAGAGGCCTAGGAAAGTTATTGTTAATACTTGTGATGACGATAGCTCTTATTTATACAGTGCCTTAAGGTTCCTAAGGACTTTTCCCCTTCACAATAATTAAGAGCTATGTAGTGGAGATCTAATCTCTGTATTACAGGTGAAGAAACAACCTCATCTAGGCACAATGACTCACCTAATATCACATAGCTAGTTAGTACTAGGACCTCAACTTAAATCTAGGGTGTTTAGGTCCATCCCAACATATTATAGCTATTTTAGAGGGAGGTAGGTGGCACAGTGGATGGAGTGCTGGACTTGGAAGCAGGAAGTTATGTTGTTGTTTAGTCATTTTTCAGGTGCGTGCTACTCTCTGTGACCCTTCTTGGCAAAGATACTGGAGTGGTTTGCCATCTCCCTTCTCTAGGTCATTTTACAAACGAGGAACTGAGACACATTAAATGACTTGATCAGGGTCACACAACTAAGTAAGTGTCTAAGACTGGATTTGAACTCAGGTCTTCCTGACTCCAGGCCCAGTGCTCTATCTATTTTGTCATCTATCTGCCCAGTTCAAATTTGACCTCAGACACTTACTAGCTGTGTGACCCTGAGTAAGTCCCTTAACTGCTATTTACCTGGGTTTCCTCTACTGTAAAATGTGGATAATAACACCACCTACCTCCCAGGGCTGTTCTGAAGATGAAAGGAGATAATATTTTTAAAGCACCTAGCATATAGTACGTGCTTAATAAGTGCTTATTTCCTTTGTCTTAGGATCACAATGAATGATCAGCTGTTGTACTTATATGTTGCTTTTAACTACTTTACAAACCCCTTACTTTTCTTGAGTTCCACTGAAGTCAGCACTCAGACCCTTTCGGAACCCAGTCTTTCTGGTTTTGCTTTCACTTGAGTTGAGACTGCTTCCTCTTCTGTCCGTTAAGGTCCTCCCAGTCGTCACTAGGGCCTTTTGTCTATGGATGTGCTCCAGCACTTCAGGCTTGTTCTTCTCTGGGACCAAAGGATTCTTTCACAGGAGATTCTGCTCCCCAATTTCCCCCTGAGTGCACCAACTCCTCCAGGAAGTGCTGCGGTTGAGAGTTCTTGGTTGGAAAGCTGCTCAGGGAGTAGCCATCTCCCTACAGAAAGCATGTGCGCTTAGGGGAGGCTGGTTTTCTTCTTGGGATCTTGGAGCCTTGATACTCGCTTTACGAAGTAAAAGTTACCAGCTGCTGCCTGAGGAAGAGAAAAGACAGAGGCCCCCCAGTGTTCCGATCAGCAAGATAACAGGTACTGTCCATTCCAAAAGGCAAAAAACTCTTGCCTGCCTGCCCTTCGGTGGGTCCCCTTTCCCCTGCCCCTTCTTAGTGTTTTCTACTGTAGTAAGAAGAATTTCAAACCCCCTTAAAAGTATTCATAATTGACAGGAAACAGAGCAATCTCGGCAAGAGGAAGCAAGGGCAGAAAACAGCTAAAATGTATTGAGACAGTTGCTATTATGTAAGAGGAAAAGGCTCCATTCCTTTTAGCAGAGTCATAAATAATTTCTTATCTAATTATCCCATATGTTCACAGTCTATGACATTTATTCCTAAACTGGTCAGCTCTGGCAGCACTATGGGATTCCTTTCCTGTCTTGGTGTGTGTGTGTGTGTGTGTGTGTGTGTGTGTGTGTGTGTGTGTGTGTGTGTGTGTGTGTGTGTGTATGTATGTTCCTTCCCAAAGCCTCTATATATAACATCAAAGCATTAACCAGTATAATGAGAAATGTAAGAAATGTGACATCTTTGCTCTCCAAGGAGCCATCCCAGATCCACCATCTCAAGGGGAAGCATGTGGCGTCTTGGATACAGACTTGATCTCATAGTCAGGAAGACATTCATTTTTATCTCTTGCCACGATGTACACTGCCTATCCGACCTTGGGCAAAACATGTGACCTCTTAGTGTATAAATTAGTACAATATAAAGTGGGATGAGTGCAAAGGAGAGTCCCATAGCAGGTACTCTGGAGAAATTTAAAGAGCAAGAGAACATTTCAGTTGGTGGGAACAGGGAAGATTTCATGGAAAATATAGTTCAACTGACTTCCAAGAGCCGGGCTCACTGTTTCAGAGGGTTTAAGTTGTTTCAAGTAAACAAATATCCCTCTATAAATTAAAAGGAATGTCCCTGCATCTGTGCATTGACTCTTTAGAATGAGTCCTTTGGCCTTCAATTGATCTTACAAACTCTTACTTTACAACACTTCTGAAAAATTTGATATAGTTTCCCTATTCGTAGCAGATTAATGGCCGCAAACTAGAAAGAGAGAAGGCATAGATTGCCAAAGGCAAACATACCAAGGACATCAGAGAGTGATATCAGACATCCTGAAATGAGGAAGACAATGAAAACTAGAACAATAATAAAAACAAAAAAGCCACACAGAGAATTTGAAAAGGCCAGCAATTTGACTGTTACGACTGATTATAAGACATGGAGGATCAAACAGCTCTACACATCTCAATGATGCCTTAAGACACCACTGTATGTATTAGGCTCTTAGCCTAATATAAAACCTGAAGTTTATAACAATGTCTCTGAGCAATCAAGAAAACATCATACTCTACCCATTATCCTCCATTTTCAGAAAGCAGAGAAATAGGTACCAGTTTTTAGTGTTCCGGGGCTTACTACAGCATTCTGCAAAGGGGAGGCATTTAATTAATAAATGCTTATTGAATTAAAATATTAAATTTTAAGAAATTTTTCATCACAGACATTTAAGAAAAAAAAAATTTAATTGGCCAAGATCCCTGAAATGAGTGACACCTTGCTGTTATCAGCTTTATAACACCTTAGTTATCAGTTAATACTTTATGAGGGATTAGTTGACTTCTTAGCTGGGAACAAGGATGCAACACAGGATAGGATACAGAATCTAAGAGGTCTTATTATCATAGAGCGCTATATTTGGGAGGGACCTTAGAGGGCCGCTGGTTTAAGCTTTATGTGAGGCATGAGGAGCTATAACTTTCTGGACAAAAAAACATCCAGCTTCTATTGGAAGGCCTGCAAGTGATAGAGGAGTCTGGTTGGGGGCTGAAGTAAGGGTAGATAACTAATGAAAGATGTGGGGGGCGGGGGGTCAAGAATAGTAAAGGAGAACTAATAGGAGACATGGGCAAGTCATATATAAACTGTATTCCACAATTTTCTTGTGGGCTGACCCTGTACTTTTACTCAGATGTGCCATCAGTGAATTTGTCATAGGCCTTTACTCTCTTGTCCTTTAGTCTTTGCCAAGATTTTACTCTTTCTAAGTGTTGACGAGCTCCTGGGTATGTTGACATTAAGTTGAAATGGCCATCAATAACAGCCGTTAATCATTTATCTCTTATCAAGACTCCTATCAAAGAAAGCTTGAAATGGTGGGCGGGCGGAACTGGTTTAATCGTTAGTGTTGTTTTTTTTTCCCTCAGTTTCCCACGTTTCCACAACATGATATTGGCAGCTCCTCAACATATGGGACTGGCTTGATTATTCTTTAGACGGTGACAGAAAAGCATTGCCCCGAATACTCGGTAAGTGATTTCTTGTTATTTTGGAGATACACATATGTACATATGTGTATGCCTGTGTGTGTGTATGTATAATCATATATAAACATACATCTAAATTTAACAAGTAGAGACTTTTTGTGAAAAGAACTAAAATAAGTGATTTTTTTCCCCCTTCTAAATGCTACACACTTAGAAATTCATTTCCTATGTTTGGAAAATATGTTATATGGCAGATTTTAAATGACATTATACAACAATTTACTTTCTGGAACTTTGTTCTAACTCACTGCCTCTTTCTTTAGTATTTTTTTTTTTAATAAAAACTTAAGTTTTCTCACTTGTAAAATGAGAGAATTAGATTAGAAGGTCTCTATAGTTCTTTCTTGATTCAACCTTCCGAGTTCTACATTCCAAGCTCTGTTCCGGCTCTAACGTTTCATGTGATCAGTTCAAAGGTCTGTACCTGCTTCATTTTGGAAATGCAGTCAGCCTTTTTTATTATTATTATAGCAAGTGATTAATTAACTGGAATCTTTTTTAGAATCAGATATTGAATTTAATTTTTCATTTACTGAGGGTTAATATCTGTTACCCATTGATTTATCAATCCCTTTTGGAAAGCTATTTTCAACCTATGTTACTTCTTAGGGTTGTCCAAACTCATTAATCATCTCACAACTATGACTTCCTTTTATTAATCCTGAATTTACCTCTTGAAAGTGCCAAAAGAGGGTGGCCCACTGGAAACTGAATGTGCCTTTTATGATGTCATAGGCTCTGAACGTCTTTCCCCTTGGTGCAGTAGACAGAGCACTGCACTGGGAAGTCAGGAGCCATAGGCTTGGTCCCAATCCTGTCACCAACTTGCCATAGGACTTTGTTGGACAAGAGACTTTAACTTTAGAGGTACATCTATAACTTGATGGGAAGAGGTTGGAATAGATTTTATCTAAAGTCTCTTCCGTTTTTATGATCTATGATCAATTTTACTTCTACTTGCTTTATCTCTTCTTTGGGCTTATGACAAAGAAATTAGCACCAGGTATTATTCTAATATATAGAGAGCAGATTTTAGGAAACCTGAGTGCAAGTATTGCTTCTAACACCTGCTGGCTGGGGGAACCTGGGCAAGGCACTCACTCTGCAGTGCTCTAAGCAATTCTCTAATACTATCAAAGTTTCAGAGAAGGGGCCGACCTACATCGTTAGATGGAACTTCCTCCCTTGGTATTTTCCTCATACCAATGAAATCAAAGCTTCAGTCTCCATCCCTATCTATGTTTAATTCAGCAATCAAAAATTCTTGTTATAATAATCACTTAAATTATTTTGTTGTGAACTTAATCATGAATAAACACATATATTTTTCAACTAGTCATTAAGCACTTGATATGTAACAATTGGGGCAGCTGACTGGCACAGTGGATAGACTGCTGCACCTGAAGCCAGGTAGACTCATCTTCCTGAGTTCAAATCTGGGCTTAAACACTAGCTGTGTGACTCTGGGCAAGTCACTTGACCCTGTTTGTCTCGGTTTCCTCATCTGTAAAATGAACTGGAGAAAGAAATGGCAAACCACTCCAGTATCTCTGCCAAGAAAACTCCGAATGGGGTCGTGAAGAGCTGGACAGGACTGAAACAACTGAACAACAATAGTAATAACAGTAACATATGCTAGGCACTGTGCTAGGCCCAGGGTTTACAATGATGGAGATACAAAATAGATAGTTGCTCTAATTTTTTTAAAATGTTCAGAATTAAATGAAAAGAATTATAGAAGAAGACACAAAAATAAGGCAACTTTACCACACTTTGTTAAATTTAATATGTATAGTTTTTTAAAAAAATTTATTTTTTTATTCTGAACTTAAACACAAAAAAAGAACATTTCCATATACAGAACAGAAAATAAAAGAGGACTACATATGAAACTATGAATCTTCATTTCATACTATGTGTTTTTTAAAAGTATATAATGACTTCCATCCCTTACTTTTAAAACTATCCTGCTTATCTGACAAGTTATTGCTGTTTGTCCTTTGTTCTGGAAGAGGACCATGACATCAGGGAGGGGATACTATGACTTGCAAGTGAATTGAATTTAAGTAAGGGAGGGCTATGCAAGGACACCAGCCTCACTTTCTCCTCTGGAGCCATCTGGGTCCAGTGTCAAGATATAGATGAGGATGACTGGAGATGATCTCAGATGCAGTGGGAGACCTTGGACTTTTTAAGTTAAGGTCTTTCTCTGGTCTCACTTTGACTGAGGCAACACCTATTCAGTGATTAAGGCCAAGTAAGAAATGAGGTGAATAATGGCCTCTTTTACCTAGTTAAAAAAAATCAATCTGGAGGTGAAGACCCAAAGGTTTCTGGTCAAAACCGAAACAATTGCTATTTACATTCACACTGAGCCATTAGGGCCCAAACAATGACCTAGTGAGGCTAGGGCTGGGACCTACTTTTGGGCCAGTCAATGAGAACCAGAGTGATTAGGGTTTAAGACATAGTCCTTAAGAAAGAAATCTAGCCCATAAACGCCAGGATGTCTTGAAAGGTTTCAGCAATCAAAATTTACATTCTTTTGGGCAGAGAACCTGCAGGTAAGGATATGACACCCCATGTGGACAGAGGGAGAGGAGGGAGGGAAAGTAGGCAAGGACAGTACACCCATTTCAAATTACAAAGAGGAATAAGGAATGAGGAAGAAGGTTGTATATGAAAGTGTCCACTTATATTACATATTTTTCTTTAACAAAAAAAACCCTACCTATCAAATCAAACCTACCTCAACAAATACAATTGCTGTATTTGTGTCTTTGTCTTTTTCAGTAAAAAAAAATGCTGCTCTTTTCTATATCTATAACTAATTCTTTCCCTCTCCCCAAGTAGAAACCCTCCTTTATAATAAAAACATATAGTCAAGCAAAACAAACCAACACATTGGTCATGTCTGAGAATGAATGCTTGATTTTTTTTATACTTTTATATTTTTATATTTTTTAATTTTTATTATTTTATTTTGATTTATCAACAATCACTTCCATATGCTTTTGAATTTAAAATTTTTCTCTCTCTTCCTCCCCACCATCCTCTCCAAGATGGCACACAATCTGATATAGGCTATATATATACATTCTTATTGAATATATTTTTAGATTAGTGATGTTGTAAGTAAAAATTAGAACCAATAGGAGGAACCACCAGAAAGGGGAAACAAAACTCGACAGAAGAGGGAAAAAAAATAGCAAATAGTATGCTTCAATCTGCATTCAAATTCCATAGTTCTTTCTTTGAATGTGGATAGCATTTTCCATCACGAGACCTTTGGAGATGTCTTACATCCTTGTATTTCTGGGAAGGGTTAAGTTTATCAATATTAGTCATTGCACAATGTGGCAGTTATTGTGTACAATGTTCTCTTGCTTCTGCTCACGAATGCTTAATTTTATACCTTGAGTTTATCACTTCTCTGCCAAGAGGTGAAGAGGTATAGCTCATCATTGGTGGTTTAAAGGATAGTCATTAATATCATGCAAATTTCATAGTTTTGCACATCATCTTTACGAAAATTGACCATATAATAGGGCATAAAAATTCATAAGCAAGTATAGGCAAGCACAAAGATTAAACATATGCTTTACTTAAACCCTCACAATAAAATTATAATCAATAAAAGGAATTTGAAGGAAATAATTAATGAAAGCTTAAACTGGGGTGATAGTTGGTTAAGTAGGAAAAAAAAGGAGAAATGTGGAGTCAGAATCACCAAACCCTGGCAAATTATTGCATGTGCACCCCTACCCTACACACACCCACATTCAAGTCCAATGACTCCCTATTACCTCCAGGACCAAATACAAAATCCTCTGGCATTTAAAGTCCTTCTCAACCTGGCTCCTTCCTACTCTTCCAGTCTTCTTATACTTTAATCTCCTCCATGTACTCCACGTTTAAGCTATGCAGGACTTGTTGCTGTTCCTGGCTTCCGTTAAGACTCAGCTTGAATTGTACCTTGTGTGGGAGGTGTTTCCTGGTCCCTCCCACCACTAGTGCCTTTCTTTGTGTGTGTGTGTGTGTGTGAGATAGACAGTTGTTTGCAAGTTGTCTTCCCTATTAGAATGTGAGCTCCTTGAGGGTGGGAGCCATGTTTTGGCCAGCTTACCACAGTGACTAGTACATAGCAAATGTGTAAGTCAGAATAAAGATTTGAACTCAGATCATCTTAACCTGATGCTATTTCTATCAGTAAAGTATGGTGAGAAAAGTATTGAATCTGGAGTCAGAAGACCTAGGTTCAAATCTCAGCTTCATATACCTACCATATGCTCTTAGGCCAGTCACTTGAACTTCATGGACATCAGTTTCCTCATCTGTAAAATGAGGGAGTCTCATTAAATGGCCTCTGAGATCTTCCAGTCCTATATCTATGATTCTGTGATCTACATGCTTCATTCCTTTTTCTATGTTTTACTGTTTTTGAATCATCATAAATTCTGTTGTGACTAATAAAACACATATTCACTGTAAAGACTTACTGAAATCAAAGTTCAAATCTTGTCTCAATCATTTAATGTCTATGTGATGCTGGGCAAGTCGCTTAACCTCTCTTTGCCTTCATTTACTTAACTGTAAAATGGGAATAGTAACACCACTCAAAGGGTTACTGTGAGGATCAAATGAGAACACACTTATAAAGGAGTTCATAGTGCTCGGCACATAGTAGGTATTATATAAATGCTTAATCCCTTCGCTTTCGTTTCTCCCCCTGCAAAGTAGCTTTCTATATTTAGTAAAAGAGCACAACAGTTATCAGGTAGGGAGCTGAAAAGCATTTTTATTTTTAAAAAGTTTGGGAACCATGAATCTAATGACATCCTCTTTTCCTTTAATAGGACAACCAGACAGATAACCATGAAAGACAATGGACAAGATGAAGATGATTATAAAGAAGTTAAGGTGATGAAAAAGAAATTGGTCAGTACCTGTTTATTTTGTTATTGTTGTTGTTGAGTTGTTCCAGTTGTGACTGACTCTCTGAGACCCCATTTAGGGTTTCTTGGCAAAGATACTGGAATGGTTTGTCATTTCCTTCTCCAGCTTATTTCACAGATGAGGAAACTGAGGCAAAAAAGGTTAAGTGACTTGCCCAGGGTCACACAGTTAGTAAGTGTCTGAGATCAGATTTGAATTCATGAAGAGAAGTCTTCTGATTCCAGGCCTAGCACTCTATCGAGTGTGCTGCCTAGCTGCCCTATTTCTTTATCTTTGTCTAATGAGGTTATCTCTTACAGAAGTGAGGCTAAGCGATCAGACTAGTGTGAAGAACGAAATTTTCCTGAGTTGACCATAGAAGGATAAACATGTCTGGATTTTCAGGCTTGCTTTCAGACAAAATCATAGTTTTGAACTTCCAAAGATCAAATAAGACACTGGGTCCCTTTAAGAACCACATTTCTGTATTTCTGTTTAGGCTGGTGGGTGGGGGAAGAAATGGAGGATGAAGAGAGGGTTTGTCCAGCAGAGGACTGTACAGAGGGAAACCAGATCCAGCCAATAAGAGGAGTTTTTCAGTATAAGCCCCACCTACTGGTCTGCTTCTGGGAAAGGAAAGAAAATTGAGTGTGAGGGAAACCCATCTGGGAAAGTTGTCCTTAGAGCCCACGGGGCTGTCAGCAGGACTCATCAGCAGGGAGCTGTTGCAAAAAACAGAAACCAAAAAAACCAGACCCTGGGATGGGGCAAGGAATATTTACTCATAGTGGGAAAGGAGGTCAGCTGTTCCAAAGTCCCAGGAGGACTGGCGGGCAGTCAGTGGGAGCAAAGAATTCTTATACAACCAGCAACTGCTAAGACAGAGGCAGACATGGCGATTCAGCCAACTCTTGGCTGGCTGACTGTTAGTTCCTTTATCAGCCGTGGTTGCTGGAGGGCAGGAGAGTCTGGGACGTGGCCTGTGGAACTGGCCTGTGCATTTCTCACCCTACCTGATTTGTGGGAGGGGAGAGAGAGAGGGAGAGAGAGAGGGAGAGAGGGGGAGGGGGAGGGAGAGGGAGGGAGAGGGAGGGAGAGGGAGAGGGAGACCCTCATCTCAGAATGGTCCCATTGGGGATGGGATAGGAGACTGGGATAGGAGACAGGAGGGAGATAGGAGACAGGGTTATTGATGTCGAGTTGAGTCAAATGAGATAATGGTTGTAAACATTACAGAGAGAGTGTAGTGAAAATGGTATTGGGTACTGAGAGTCAGAAGACTTGGTATTAAATTCTGGCTTTGCTATTTACTTACTTATATGACTTTAGGCAGTTACTTCCCCTCTCTGGGACTCAGTTGCTTCATCTGTAAAATAAGGATGTTACATTTATTCTCTAAGGTCCCTTCCCACTCTGTGTCCAATGATCAAATGGTCCCATGAATGACGACTCCCTCTCCCACTAGTTCTTGAAGCCTGATATAAACAGAGGATTGGTGGTGCTGGGGTGGGGGGGGGGGGGGGAGGAGGATAAGGGGGGTAAATATAAATAACAATAATATATATAAATAGCAATAAAAACAATCTAGCAATCAGTTTCATCACTGAAGGTACTACTTGCACTCACATGGATAGTCACAGCTTCCCACCTTTAGTAGACGGTGTCCTGGGTCACTGTGGCTAAAAAGATTCATCCTGTGGGGCCAGATTTCAGATGATGAGCCTCTATCCCTATCTAGGCTGGTTTTGGAGTGACAGACACACAGTCCAACATGAGCCTTGTTCTTGAAACCTTTTCAGCTTAGTAGAAGGCTTATATGGTTCTATTACAGCCTTCAATAACTCGGTGTCACATCCATGCCACAATGAATCATTGGAGGGCCATTAGTTAAGGTACCATCATCATCATCCCTGACACACAGGAATTTTCAAAGCTGTTTACATCCATTATCTCATTTGACTCTTAAGAATATCGATTATAAATAATATTGAACATGAATACAATCCACTAAACTTAATCTGCAATTATTTACATTTAAGTAAATGAAATTCAACTCATAAAATATTATAAGTTTTCAGTCCTTCTAAATCACCATCAGGTTTCTTTTTCTATTTCCCTTCACTTTTCCACTTGTAAGGTCATAATTCATGCAAAATCTTTTTCTGGATCAGTATTTCTTTTCTTTTTTCTTTTTTTTTTTTTGCTGTATACTACATCACAAAGTTCTTTCCATACTTCCTTATATAGATTCCTCATATTTGTCAATCTTAATTATGTCATATTATGTTATAGTATTCCATTAAATTTATGTACCATTAATTTGTTCAACCATTTCCCAATTGTTGGATTTTAGTTTGCTTATAATTTTGTTTTTGTTTTTGGCAATTATATATACTGCCGTAATGAAAACCTCTGAACAGATAGCTTTTAAAATAAATTTGTTTTGTATTATTTTTGCATCACCAAATTTTCTCCCCATATATATATATATGCATATATATGTCCTCTTTCAGAAAGTGATACTTTATATATTTTTTCTTTTATTAATGTATCCCTTTTCCTCCCTCCTTTCTACTTCCCCTCCCATGAGCTAATTAAAGAAAAAAAGCCCTTAATACATAGAAACCTAGTTTGGCTAAAACAAATCCCCATATCAGCCATGTCTGAAAATATATCTTTCTGAATTTTAAATTCAGAGAGACGTATTTCATCTTCATTCTTTTACACTCATTGAATTGGTTAGAGTTCTGAATCTTTCAAAGTTTTTTCTTTCTAATATTGTTATCATTGCATAGATTGTTCTTATTCTACTCACTTGACTTGGCATCAGGTTCATATAAATCTTCCTATTTTTCTCTGAAATATTTTGTTATTTCTTGTGACACAAAAACATTCTGTTACATTACAATTTATTTAGCCATTTCTCAGTAAGAGGACACCCCTTTAATTTATATTTTTTGGCTCTCATGATATACATATAAGTCTTTTTCTTATTTGTTTGGGTTTTTTTTTTTTTTTTTTAGTACAGGCCCAGTAGTGGTACAGCTGGATCAAAGGGTTTGTACAAGTCAGTAACTTTTGGGAGCATAATTTCAAATTGCTTTCCAGTATGGCTGGATGCCCTCCAACATTTCACATTTTTCACTCTTGCATCTTTACAAATTTGATGGTTGTGCAGTGAAACCTCGAAATTATTTCAATTTGTATTTATCTAATTATTAGAGATTTAGGACATTTTTTTTCATGTGATTGTTAATGGCTTAGATTTTTTTCTTTGAAAACTGTCTGTTCATACCTATTGGAGAATGACTTTCAGTTTTATAAATTTAAATCAGTTTCTTATGTATCTTGGACATGAGACCTTTATCAGGGAAATTTGCTTCAAAGATTTTCCTCCAGTTATTCTCTTTCCTTTTAATTTTAGCTGCATTAAATTGTACAAAAATATTTAGATTTTATGTAATCAAAATTGTCTATTTTATCTTATTTAGTAATGAACTCTTTCCCTAACCATAGATCTGAAAGGTAATTTGTTCCTTGTTCATCTAAATTTGTTTATGATATGACCTTTCATATTTAGGTCATGTATCCATTTAGAGTTTGTCTTGGTATGTGGTATAAGGTGCTAATCTAAACCTATATTTTTTCAAATTATTTTCCCAGCAGTTTTTGTCAAATAGTAACTCTGTCCCCCAGGAACTGGGCACTTTGAGTTTATGGAACACCGTGATACTGTGTTTATTTGCTTCTATATATTGTATACCTATTCCTTTCCACTGTTACATCTCTCTGTCTCTCTGCCTTAGAGTTTTTCCCCCTGATATTTTCAGGATATATTCTCCACAAGAGAATTGAAGTCAGAGGATCATCTCTCTTACTTGTCATTTATTTTCTGAGTGATGTTGAACTAGTCATTTCTACCTTGATGGACCTCAGTTTTCTTATTGCTAAAATGAGTGGTTGGACTAGATGACCTCTGAGTTCCTTCTTTATCTCTAAAGCTCTGATCCTATGAATGCTTGGTTTGACAGGTATGATTATTTTGGCAACTTTTACTCTGTACTGCCATATTATTTTCCAAAAAGATTATGTATGTTTGCAGTTCCAACACCAATGGATTAATTTTTCTGCAACCCTACCAGCATTGAATCTCATTGCTTTTAATTCCTTTTGTCCATTTGAAGTGTGGGAGGAGGTATAGCAATGCTGTTTAAATTTGTGTTTGTTTGACTTGGCGAGGATGAGCATTTTTTCCCAAAAGATTATTAACAATTTGTGTTTCCTCTTTTGGATAACATCTGCTCATATCCCTTGACCATTGTTAATCTATCCATTGTGGACTGGGAAATATCTTTCTAAAATTTTAACTGTTTTCTTTATGGGTGTGTACATACACACACATATACCCACTATATTCTTTATATATTTTAGATGTCAGGTATTTACCACATTTGCTATAAATATTAATAACCAATTTAAAATTTTGATTATATATTTTATATAGAATTAAGTGTTCTGATTTTACCACTAATAATTCCTTTCATTTATTGAATGGAAAAAACCATATTATACCCCTTTCATTTGATTCTTCAATAACTCTATGAGATAGACAAGATATTTATTACTTTCCTCATTTTGTAGATGAGGAAATTGAGATCCAGATGGATTAGGTGCCTTTCTCAAAGTCATACAGGTGAGTTTTTAATTTTGTGTCATTACTACATTTAGTCAGACATAGTCATAGTCCCTATTATACTTCACGGTGTCATGGAAGTAACCTTAGGTCCTCAGTGGCAATGGTGGCAAGGTAGAGAGCAAACTATGGGAGCTCCTACCAAGCTGAAAAGGCTTCAGGAATGGACCAAGTGATGGGTAATATGGCTGTCTTCCAGGACCTGGCCCAGTTTAATGTGCACAGTTTCATTATTAGATTGGTCACCAGCTAGTAAAACTTTTGGCTAGAGCAACTCATTAAACACTAATAGGATGTGAAGAGATTGCCATTTCTGTTGCTTTATGTGCCAACAGAGATAAAGTGACAGCTCATTTAAAGCCTTGTATCATGTAATTATAGAATGTTATGGCTAGAAGGAACCTATTTTTCTACCTAATCAAAACTTCTTTATCCTGAGTCCCATTCCTCCGGGACCATGATCTCTGATTAACAAGTTGGAAATGTGGTAATACATGCGAAGGTGTCCATAAGAAAAAGAAAGGAAAAAAAAAGCTTTGTTTTTCCTTTTACTTCAATGGAGGAAGGGTAGAAAGGAGAGATTAATTGAAAAATAATAGAATTTAATACAAAAAAAATAAAAAATGGGATTACCCTGAGAAGATGCCTTAACTCAATGGTGAGTCCTTCCTGAGGTTAGATATTTGAAGGCAGGGACATATTATGATGATGATGATGATGGAGAAGAGATGAAGAAAAAGGAAAGAGGATAAGAAACACTTTAGGAACTCTATCTCCCAAGAAGGATAGCTGCAAACAGCAAAATCATAGGTTGAAAGCTAGAAGGGATCTCAGAGGGCATCCAGTCCAAACCCCTCATTTTACAGATAAGGAAACAGAGGCAAAGAGGGGTTAAGTAACTTGCCCAGGGTCACCCAGGCAGTTTGATGTGGGAATTGAACTTGGATCTTCTTGACTCCAAGTTTAATCCTTATCCACTAGACATCCATAATAAGCCAAGGAGAAGCTCATTTCTAGTTTATCCAACAGCATCCTACCTTCCCAGGCAAACACACACACACACGCACTTGTATTGAAATCTGCCATTGCTTTTATGAGAACACTGTCTTGGAAAAAAACATTGGTGTTAGTTTAGAGTGCTTGACTCCTACTGACTGATGCTATGACTTTACCTAAGTCATTTCCCGTTTCAGGTGTCCTGAGTTCTCTTGTAAAATTAGGGGGTTGGATTAGATCACTTTACACACTTCTTCCCAGTTTTGATATTCTAAGTCCTAAATAAATGTATTCACCTGACCTTCAGAGTCCCCAGTGCCTTTTGCCTAGAGAGCTAAACAGCACACATATCTGAATCTTCCACCCCAGAATTTAAACTTAGGTCACTAGGAGCATCCGGAAGGAAAGAAGGAAAAAAGGAAAAAAGGAGAAGCAGGCTTGTTTGTTTATACTTAGATTCCTGATTTCTGAGATGACTGTTTCCCTCTTGTGGTCTTGCCTTGTTATTACAACTGGTTGGTTATAATTATGCTAAAAGAGAAAAGTTGACCATATCCTGTTCAGTAGGGGTGAACACATTTCCTGTTTGGATCCTGCCTCCCTTCCTGTGGACTCTGCTTTCTTTCTAAGTGTGGGAGAGTGCCTTCTTTATTTTGCTGTCACTTTCTACTCCTTGTTTCAGGCAGCGATATTGCTGGGATAATTGCTAAGTTGGGCAATTAGCCACTAAGTCAGCACGATCCTCCATCTATCTTAAAACAAACAAACAAATATTTACTACATGGATTGCTCTGTCCAGAGATTAGCTCCTCTTGTACTTGGCTCCAGAAGGGAACAAGGCAATATGTTTCTAATTCCAGATAGAGAGCAGCCTGAATGTGAACACCTGATGAAAAGAATTCCAAGTGTGAAAAAAAGTAAGGTAAAGAAATCTACTTCTGGAGGATTTCAGGAGCTGTGGTAGTAGGGATGTGGCTCCCGGAGTCTTGAGCCTCAGTTTTTGGTGCACTTCTGGTGGCCCGGAAGTGAGAGGGAGCTGGGAACTTAATTACCCTTTCCTGAAATTGGGGTTTCTCTGAACTTTTCTCTAATCCCCCTTTCCCTTCCTCTTCTTCTGTCCCTTCCTGAGGATCAAAGCTCTCCCTGCTACTTGTCTTCTTAAGATTCTAGGACAGAAGGGATTTTTCTCCATTCTCCATTAAAAATAAAGTCATATGGAATTGGTTTATAACTTACTCAAGGGACTATTTCATTTAAATGTTGTGTCTTCCTCACCCTTCTTCCTTCCCACCTAGCATAGTGCCTGACACCTAATCAGTGCGTAATAAAAGCTTGTTAACTTGACTTATGGGGGAGGGGGTGTGTACTGTATATATGTATAAAAGTATTTCACAAGGCAGAATGTGACAGAAACAAAGGATCGATCCAGACAAAAATACTTAAAAGCAACTTGAGGAAGGCAAAATTTTTTTCTGCTGGATTGGGGCTGTGGGATCAAGGAAAGCTTAATGGAGAAGGTTGTACCTGATCTAAGGTTTGAAAAAAGAGAAGAATTTTTATCAAATATTGGGTTCCAGGAATGAGGAATAGAAAGCTGGTGGGAGATCATATAGTACAACCAAGTTAGGGATTAGTTATTAATCCAGTTTGGCTGGAATATAGAGTGATTCAGGAGTAAAATATGAAATAAGGCTGATATTTTATCATAAATATGATAGGCAGACAATGTCTTGTTTTGATGGGGGATACTGATATGATCATGTTTGTGCAACAGGAAGAATCTTTTTTGCTGATATAGAAGGAACGATCAAAGAAGAGGAAAGCTGAAGGTAGGGAGAACAGGAGGTTGTTAAAAGGACAACAATGATCTAATACCGATAATTCAAGTTAATATAGTCCCTCATGGTTTAAAAGTATTTTCATATATAGTATCTTATTTGATTTTGACAATAATCCTATGAGGTTGACAGCAGAAATGTATTTTCTTCATATGACAGATGAAGGAATTGAGGCTCAGAATGGTGAAATGACTGACCAAAGATCGCAGAGCTATGTGGTTGTTATGGAATCCAGGTCTCCCAACTCTCAGTGCAGTGTTATTTCTACTATATCACATATAGTACTATTCCATAATGGTGCCAGAGTACAAGAGCCCTACATTAAAGAGAATCATGGGGGGAAGGGTACGGAGAGAGGACATTCCTTAGGCCCCTAGGAAGTTGTTCTTAGTCAAAACTGTCAAGTCCTTATTTCTTTCAATCTCTGAGCCTTTACATTTTGTGCCCTTTAACCCTTGGGGTGACTTCCTTGCTAGGTATTCAGTGCCCTCTTAATCTGATCTCCTAAATCTTCCTTTGTACACCCTCATGAAAATTGGCTGTCAGTTTTTTGCTTCACTTACTTCAATATACTTTACCAAATTTATGATCTCATTGATGTAAGTACTTGGTTCAGCGGTGCAGGTGGTAACTCACTCATGCTTTCTGATCCTGTGTGACTGTTGTCTATGTTGTTCTGTGAATCCTTCACAGACAATCCACACAATGACCTGGAGATTCTCTTCTGATCTCGTCTTTCTGTGGGACTAAGAATAATATTTGGACTTTCCCTCTGTTATTTTTCACTCTTGTCACTGTCACTTGTTACTGTTGGCAATATACTACAGCCTAATTATGGCTATCTTGTACTTGTCCATGGATTTGAGTTATCTGCAGTTTTGGTTCTTTGGCAATATGGTGTTTCATGATTTATAGCCATATGGTTTTGCTAGAAGAATGTTGGAGAGATGCACGGTGATCCCTCTCAAGTAGATTTACATTTTAATGTGGATCAAACCTATTGTTGAAAATTTGACTTAGAATTGGGAGTCAGTAGACCTAGTGGCCAATTCAGGCCATACCACAGACCAACTGTGACCTTATACAAACCACTTCCTTTCTTTGAACCTCAATGTTTCCATCCCCAAATGAGGGGGCTGGACACCATAATATTTAAGATCCCTTCTAGTTCTGGCATCTGAGGTGAAAGAGAATGAAGTCAAAGGTGACTGAGGTCTGAACCAGGCAAATTGCAAGAATACTGATACCCTTAACAGAAATAGGGAGTTTAGGAAGAGTAGGTTTAGGGAGAAAAATGAGTTTAAATTTGAACATACTCAACAAGGTGGAAATGTCCAGCAATTGGTGATATGAAATTAGAATTGAAGAGAGAAGTAAGGGTTGCATATGGCCTGGAATCCATAGATTTGGGAGTTATCTGAGAAAAGATGAATGCATGGGAAATTCTGAGATCACTAACTATACAGAGAGAAGGGGGCACAGGACAGAGAAGTAAGAATCAGCAAGCATTTATTAAGTAGCATAGCATAGTATGTATTACATTGTGCCACTCTACGTGAGCCAGGAGAGAAAGTACTCCTAGCACTCTAGGAGTGCTACAACCAACCAACCAATCAATGAACATGTGTTAAGTATGTGTCAGGCACTGTGTACTAAGTGCTAAGGGTTAAAAAGAAAAGAAAGAAAAGGAAAGAAAAAAGAGCATAGACATTCTCTGACCTCATGGTGCCTGTATTCTAGTAGATAAGACAACATTTATTTAAATAGGTGCATACAAGATCCACAGAGAGCCATGGGAAGGTAATCTTAAAGGGAAAGGTACTAGCATGAGGAGAGTGGGAAGAGTAATTTACAGAAGATGGTATTTGAGCTGATTCTTCCTATAAGAAGCCAGAGATTTTGGCGGGAGGACATTTTAGGCATGGGGGGGTGGGGGGAAGGGCAGGTAGCCATTGCAAAGTTATGGAGATGAAGAAGAATAAGAAGGCCAGTATGGCCTATAGAATACGTGAAGGAAAGTGACCTGTAAGAAGTTTGGAAAAGTGGGAAGGGACCAGATTGCTAAGAGTTTTAGATGCCAAACAAAGGAATTTATATTTGATCCTAGAGATAATAGTGAGCCCCTAGAGATTTTTTAGTAGGGGTGACATGGTTAGACCTACAGTCAAGGAAAATCAGTTTGACAGCTATGTGGAGAATGAACTAGAGAACAGAGAAACATGAAGCAGGGAGACCAATTAGAAGGCTATTGCAGTAGTCTAGGCTATTGGAGGCAACTGGGTGGCTCAGTGGCTGGGGCATTGGGCCTGGAGTCAGGAATACCTCAGTTCATATCTGGCCTTAGATATTTAATAACTGTGTGATCCTGGGCAAACTACTTAATCACCATCAGCCTCAGTTTCCTTCATCTGTAAAATGGAAATCCCAGTAACACCCCCCTCACAGGGCTGTTGTAAGGAACAAATGAGATAATATTTGTAAAGCACTTAACACCATTGTGCTAAGTGCTCCTGGGACATGGTAGGACTTTAATAATGCTTATTTCCTTCTTTCCTTTTTTCCTTCCTTCCTTCCTTTTTTCTTTCCTTCCTTCCTTCCCTCCTTCCTTCCTTCCAGGTGACAGATAACAATGATCTGAACTAGAGTGATGGCTGCATGAGTAGAGAGAAAGGGGTAAATGTAAAAGATGTTGTAGAGAAAGAAATAACAAGGTTTGGCAGCTGATTGGATATATAGGATGAGTGAGAGTGAAGACTTGAGGATGACATCAAGGTATTGAACATGGGTGACTGGAAGGATGGCACTGCTCTTGAAGTTTGGAATAAGAAAAAGGTAGGAGGAGAACCAGAAGAGAACAGTGTCATGAAAATCCAGAGAAGAGACGTTCTCCAGGAGGAGAAAGTGATTAAAGTGTCAGATGCTTCCAGGAAGTTAGGAAGTATAAGAACTGATAAAGGGTCATTGCATTTCTCATTTAAGAGATAATCAGTGACTTTGGATAAAGTAATTCCATTTGAGTAATGAGGTCAGAGTCAAGCTGGAGAGAGTTTAGAAGACATGAATCGAAAGGAAATGGAGCCATCTAGTATAGGTTGACACCTCATATAATAGCTAGCTTTCTCAAAGTGTTTAGTTTAGAAGGGAAGGAGAGATATAAAGTAATAGAAGGAATGATGGGATCTTGTGAAGGTTGTTTGGGTTGGAGGAGACATGGGAAGGAACTAGCAGATAGGGAAATATTGAAGATTAAAGAGAAAGTGGGGATGATATTGATGCACTTTGCTTGAGAAGATGACAGGGGAGGGGATCAATAGTGCAGGCGAATATAGATTTCCATGAGAGCAAGAAGATGGAAGAAGTGTGATATGAAAAAGTCTAATATTCAGGAAATTTTGGTAACAATAGAACAAAGGTACCATAGGGTATGATGGAAGAGGAAGGCAGGGCAGGAAAAAGGATTTGAGTGCAAAAAGGCTGAGGTAGACAGAGATGAAATAACAGGGAGTGATAGCAGTGGAAGGGATTTTTTTCCTAGGCAGCCTTGGATTCTGAGTCACAGAGACGAACAATAAATAAATTTACTGGTTCATTTATTGGCTCAGATATTTTCTATGGGAGGCTTTTATGTTTTCTGTTAGGGCTATAATCAAGATGTAGACCCAAGAAAGGAAGGTGGAAAGGCTGGTTAAATGGAAACCGAGATTCTCTGTTGAATAATCCAACAGTCAAAGGAATATTTATTTCCTCTGTCAAAATTTCATATATCTTATCTCTAAACATACATAGATGCTCAATAAAAAGCTTTCAGATAGATTGACTGAACCTTTGTCATTTGGGAGGAGCTGTGTGACTTGAAATGCTGAGAGCCTTCTTTACCTTTAAGCCATGTAAAAATGGAATTTGGCCTTGCATATACTCAGTCATCAATCTAATGGTGATACTTAGGACCCAAATACAATCAAATGACAGAGGTGGAAGGGACATTAGAATGTAGAACACAAAAAATTTGAGATTCAAGGGATTTTAGGTCTCAGAACATAGAATTTCAGAGCCAGAAAGAATTTTAGAACATAAGATCAATCAATCTGTCAATCAGCAAGAATTTATTAAGCTCCTACTATTTGTCAAAGACTATTCTGGGTATCAAGAATGCAAAAACAAAAATGAAATAGTCCCTGCCCTTAAAGAGCTTACATTGCTTTGATGGAATTCATGTAAGTAAATACAATATATATGTTACCAACAACTGGATGGATTATGATAGACTTTCTATAGGAGGCAAAATCAATCTAATCAGTAAACATTTATAAAGTACCTACTATGCACCAGGTTCTGTGCTAAGTGCCATGGATACAAAAGAAGGCAAAAGACAGTCCCTGCCTTCAAGGAGCTCACAATCTAATCAGAGGGACAACAAACAGCCAAATACATACAAAGTAAGCTCTGTAGAATAAAAAAGGAAATACTTAACAGAGGAAAAGCACTGAAATTAAGAGAGATTGGGAAAGGCTTCCAGTAGAAGATGGGATTTTAGTTGGAATTCAAAATAGAAGCCAGGGTAGTCAGTAGGTGGAGATGAAGAGGGAGAACATTCGGGTACAGCCGTAGAAAATGCCCAGAGCAGAGAGATAGAGTGTTTTGTTCACAAAACAGCAAGGAGGCTAGTGTCACTGGATTGACGACTATGTGGTGGGGTGTAAGGTGTTAAAGGACTGGAAAAGTAGGAGGGAGGCTAGGTCATGAAGGGTTTTGAATGCCAAACAGAGTATTTTGTATTTGATTCTGGAGGCAATAGAAAACTAATGGAGTTTATTGAGGGTGTGTGTGTGTGTCACATGGTTGGATTTATGCTTTAGGAAAATCACTTTAGCAGCTGAATGGAGGATGGATTGGAATAGAGAGAAACTTGAGGCAGGCAGACCCACCAGCAGGCTGCAGTAGTCCAGGTATGAGGTATTAAGGGTGTGCACCATTGTGGCATGTTTCAAAGATGGAAGAGAGGTGTTATAAAGGTGAAGTCAACAGACTTTGACACATATTGGGTATGGAGGATGGGGAGAGATAGTAAAGAGTCAAAGATGACTCCTAGGTTGTGAGTTTGAGAGACTGGGAGGATGGTGTTGCCCTCCCAGTATCAGGGAATGTAGGAGTAGGGGTAGGGATGAGAGGAAAAGTTAATGAGTTCTGTTTTGAGTTTAAGATGTCTAAAAGGCAGTTGGCAAGAAAAGTAGATTTGAGGATCATAAGAATTGAGATGATAATTAAATCCATGAGGGCTGATGAGTTCATAAAATGAAATAATGAAATAGCATAGAGGGAAAGGAAAGAAAAACTTGGGACAGAACTCTGTAGGATATCAATGTTTTGAGGGCAAGATCTGGATGAAGATCCAGCAGAAAAGACTTGAGAAGAAGCTCTCAGATAAGTAGGAGGAGAACCAGGAGAGAGTGTATCCTGAAAACCTAGAGAGAAGACAGTATCAAGGAGAAGATAGTGATCAATAATGTTAAAGGCTACAGAGAGTTCAAGAAGAAGGAAGGTTGAGAAAAAGCCATAGGATTTGGCAACTAAGAGATCACTGGTAATTTGACTTTGAGCTGAGAGCTTTGAAGGAAGCTAGAGAGCCCAAACTGTAGAGGGGAGAAGGTTCATTCCAGGCTCAGAGCATGTAGAGATCTTAGAACACAAAACAAAGAACTTTGGAGTTGGAAGGGACCTTTGAAATTAGCACCTAGAATCTTGGAAGTAGAAGGTCTTTATAGATCATTTACTTCAGAGGTTCTTCACCTGTTTTTGTGTCCTGTGCCCCTTCGGACGTCTGGTGAAGCCTATGGAACATTTTCAGAATAATGTTTTTAAGGGTATAAGATAAAGTATATAGGGTTACAAAGAAACCAATTATATTGAAATATAGTTATCAAAATGTTTTTTAAAAGTTCACAGACATCATGTTAAGAACCCCATATCTAATCCAACCCTTTCATTTTGAGAGGAGAAAAAAGGCCTATTTGAACTATAAAACAGAAATTAACCAAAGAAATCTAATGTAATACCACACAAAAGAATGAATTTTCTTTCAGAATTATTTTCACAGTAGTAGAGTAAGTCACCCTAGCTAAATCACGTTATGTGTAAGTAGCTATCTGTAAGGGCTCCATTAAAATTCATATTTTGATGATGCCTAATTACGTTTTCTTATTTCCCTAGGATTGGTCATATTCTCTCATCGTGGCATCGCTCATTGGGGCTTTTGGCTCTTCCTTTCTCTATGGTTACAATCTTTCTGTAGTCAATGCTCCTTCCCCGGTAAGTACTGAAAGACAACTAGATGATCTGCCCAGCAGAGGGCAACCTTGTATTATCCACAATTTCAGCTGGAAAGCAGTGCCATTTTGTTGCACAGAAACACTGTACCATATCCTCTCACTACCTTTTTGACAACTCTGGTTTTAGACCTTTAAAAGAGGCAATGTTGATGCCTGCTGGAGAAGAACATTGCACTCAAGCCAAATTGAATAGTTCATTTTACTTTATTTTTAAATTTAAAAATGCATTATTACTATTTGATTTTATACCTTAGCTATTTTCCTTTACCTCCCTCATCCTTACTGATTAATCAGTCAGCCAAGAAACATTTATCAGGCACCTTCTTTGGTGCTTCTTAGGTGCTGGGATACAGAGTCAAAAAGAATATTGTTTGTAAGAAGTTCATTATCCAGCTGGGTGGGAAATATGTTTCATACAGGTATATACTAACTATGTACTAAAATGATCCAAGTTCATTTTGAGGAGGAAGGCACTTGTAGTTAAGGAGATCAGGAAAGGCTTCCTAGAGAAAGTATCATTTGAGCTGATATTTGAAGGAAACAAGGGATTCTAAAATTCAGAGGCATAGAGGAAATGTATTTCAGGCATGAGAGACAACCAGTGCAAAGGCTGGAGATGGGCTATGGAATATCAGGTATGAGGAATAAAGAAGATCAGTTTAGTTAGAATAGGGTATATAAGCAGGGGAGTAATATGTAATAAGGTTGGAGAGGTAGATTGGGGACAGGTTGTGAAGGGCTTTAAATGCCAAACAGCAGAATTTAGAAGTGATAAATAAGTCAGTTTATAAACATTTATTAAGTGCCTACTCTGTGCTAAACACTGGGATCATGAAGCTTTTTTTGAATAGGGAAGTATTTTGGAGTAGACTTATCTAATTAGATCATAATTTAATCTCTATGCTACTTAAACTTATTCCTTTATCTCATTCCCTACTTTTTTTTAATGGAGGCCATTTACAAAGGTATAGCAGTATGTGGCTCTTTAAAATATTAGAAAAAAATCAAAATAAAACATTAATATTCTTACCATAGGTGTCTCCCTCCAGCCCACTCATTTCTCTTCAGGTTCATGCTAATCCCACTTTGGCAAACAAACCTAAATCCCAGGAGGTCAGTTCATTTTCCTAGTTGCTCTCACAGGGACATAATAGGATATCCACCCTGGTTTTTCCTACTCATGGCCAAATCACCTAACCAGCAGATATGACTCTAGAACTCAGGACTTTGGTCTTTCTCTTTTTTCATTTTCTTTTTCAAACATAAATACCTTTTGCTTTGATATCTCCTTACTTTTTATATGTATATAATCCTCCTGATCTCTCTTACCTAGTGCTGTTTTTCTGTTCTAAGATGGCTTGGGCCTGGTTCTTCTAGCAATCTGAATTGAGTATTGATTCCCTTGTTTGGACCCCCAGCTTTTGTGTATTTGTATTTCTGTCTACTTTCACCGTGACAGGTATGAGGGGAGAGGATTTCTGTACAGGGAATAACATGTTTTCTCTCATTCCTTTCCAGGCTGCTATGCTCTAAGTCTTTCCTTCACATTATTTTCAGTCCTTTTCTGCTTATTTCATTCTGCATCAGTTCATGCAAGTTGTCCCATGTTTCTCTGAATTCTGCATATTCATTATTGAGGACTCCCCAGAGAACTTTTGTTGGTATGGGTTCTGTCTATTGATATTTATCAAATTCAAAATGAAAACATCTTAGTATTATTTTGAAAATGGCTTTGATCTAGTGAATCCCTTCAAAAGCCTTTAGGGATCCCCAAAGGTACCCTGATCATACTTTGAAAACTATTGATATAATGGATAGGACACTGGACTTGGAGTTAAGGAAGACCTGGGTTCCAATTCTCCCTCAGATATTTACTAGCTGAACAAGACAGTTAATCTTTCTGTGCTACTGTTTTCTCATTCATAAAATGAGGAAATTGGACTTCTTGGCTCCGAAGGTCCCTTCTAGCTCTAAATCCTATGATTCTGACTTCAAATCTAGTATTCTATCCATATCCCTCTGCTTTAGAGTAAACATTGATATACAATATGATTATTGTATATACTGTATGCATATGCTGTTATATATAGCTCATTCTATACTTCTACAATACAAAGGTGGGTGGAAAATAAAAAATTCCTCGTCAGCATCATCTAACTCAGCCACGGAGGACTAGCCGATGGTGTTCGGGACTGATCTTTTACAAAATGTCTTCAGTTGGCCAGTGAGTGAAATTGAGTAGGAAAGCTTTTGTGCTGGCTTGATGTCATTCAATAGCCAGCTCTGTGGGAACAACGTTAACTCAGCTGTGTGGAAGCCTGGTGTTGGAAGCCTGGTGTTCTTTCTTCCCTAAGACAATCAACTAAAATTTTACCTCAGAGATTGCAGAGGAGTGGGGGGGAAAAGCAGCGATCTCAAACAATAAAATGTTAAACCCAGTCATCATGAAAGATGAGAGTTATTTTTTACAAAATGTTTTATGGATGCTTTTGTTATTTTTTTATATCTGTCAGTTCCCAATAACATGACTCGAGCCCCAAACACAAAACCCTCCTTATAACAAAGAAACCAACCTATCAACTGTATATGCAGTATCTGTGTCTATATTCTTGCCTCTTTCTATTGAATACAAAAGCACCTCTTATTTCTATTGCAAGGAGGGAATTGCTTCACTATCCATGCTCTGGAATCAAGATTGATCAGTGTAGAATTCTGATGATTTTTAATATTGTTTTCTATCACTTCATCATGGTTATTGTGTATTATTGTTTTCTTGGCTCTGCTTTTTTGTCCTCTGCACCAGTTTATGTAGGCCCTCCCAAGCTCCTATGAAGTCTTCACTTTTGCTATTTCTTAGGATGATAATTTTGGCTAGTGACACTCTTCTTAAAATAAGGAAAACTATGTCCTCCTATAAATTTCCTATGGCAAATCTCCATCTGCTGGAAGCCTTGCTCTGAGTCTTTACATTCCATGGGTACTAAAGAAGGCATGAAGGTTGCATTCTATCTTTTATCTCTTGTTCACCTATATAACTGGTCCATCTATCTTCTTTTTCTGATAATACATTTCCTTGAAATCTTTTTTTTTTTTTGATGAGGCAATGGGGTTAAGTGACTTGCCCAGGGTCACACAGCTGGTAAGTGTCAAGTGTCTGCGGCCGGATTTGAACTCAGGTCCTCCTAACTCCAAGGCCAGGGCTCTGTCTACTGCACCACCCATTTGCCCCTCCTTGAAATCTTCTAAGTTGCTTGTTGTGACCATGACATCACTGATATTATATTGTATCCTGTTTACATCCCTATTCTGTCTCTCCATTGCCCTTTTGGGTTATCTGGAGATTTGATTCTACAAGCTCAAATACCACCTTCTCTTCAGGCCACAAGGGAGATAACCCATGACCTTGAGCCCCAAAACTGAAAGTGGTGTCTGAAGCTAAGGTAGAGTTAGTATCAGGGTCAACAACAGAGTCCAGAGGTCAAATGAAGAAATTTATGAGAGGACATAGTTTTCCTTATTTGAAGAAGAGTGTCACTAGCCAAAATTATCATCCAGCCCTAAGAAATAGCAAAAGTGAAGACTTCATAGAACCTTGGGAGGACCTACATAAACTGATGCAGAGGACAAAAAGCAGAGCCAAACAGTAATACGCAGTAACCATGATGAAGTGATAGAAAACAATATTAAAAATCATTAGAATCCTACACTGATCAATCTTGATTCCAGAGCATGGATAATGAATGGTCTTGGATCAGGCCACGGGGCTTCAGTATTAATACAAGCAATAGGAGTATAGGTTGGATAAAGAGTACTCAATGAGCTGGGATCTATGCTCTTCAGACATTTATACTTTTTTTCATCTACCCCTTATCTTCCTCTAAATTCACCACAGTTGGACAATGTTGACTGTCACTGACATTCTCAATATTAAAAGCTAACTCTCAGTAACCATAGCCATAGAAGTTCTAATGAGCGCTAAATACTTCACCATCTCCCACTTTTCCTTGTTGAGCTCCAGTTTTCTCCTCTGCAAAATGGGGATAATTGTCTCTGCACCACCCACCTTAAAGGATCCTTGTCAGAGTTAAATGATAAAAGTGCTATATAAATGAACTATTTTCATTTAATTGCCTTTTGTAAATGACATTGTATCATAGATTACTCTATTTGTACTTGCCAAAGGTGGACTATGGTGGCTCTTAATCAGTAGAGAGGCTTCTCTCTTAAGACATCTTGCTTCTAGCCCCTGGGGAAACGTACGAAGAGTCAGGTTCCATCCACGCTCCAGGACTGTCATTTCCTTGAGTGCCAAACTCATTTGTTTTCATGAAACAGTAATTGTGAAAGGTCCCATTTCTAACTGTCATACTCCTGCTCTTACTAAAGTGCCCTTATCATATAGTGGTTATAAAACTCCCATTGGCTCTTTCAGAGGTTAATGACCATGTCTAAGAAAAGTTGCCCAGAGAAGTGACCTCAGGTACCTCAGTTTATTCTTGGAGTGAAACGTTGCATTGTCATTAATGATTCATTTCCCTAAAGTATCTTGGTACATTTGTTTTCTAATGTGAGTACACTGGATTCTTTCTTTGTGGTTGTCCTTGGGGTTAAGGTTAATGGAACTTTGCCTTATGGGTGAGACTGGATCTATTTCTACATATTGTAGATATGTGTAAAATATATATGTATAATATACATGTCATATGTCTATCATATAACATATACATATGTGTGTATGTGTGTACACATTAAGGATCTGTGATTTCTTCAGTGATAGACGGTTGCCCATCTACAATTTAGTGGATAAAAGAGTTGTCTGATGCTCAGCAAGGCTAAGTGACTTACCCATCGCTCACAGGGCTAGTGTGTGTGTGTGTGTGTGTGTGTGTGTGTGTGTGTGTATTCATATATATGGTTGCTGACATTTGTATACTATTCACTAGTTTACAAAGCATTTTACATGCTCAAATTTACCCTCAA